GGACGATTTTCCTATATTTCAATTTGAATTCAAAGACTTTGCAACTCTACAAGATGTCAACTGATGGGGCTCTACCTGGATCTAGGTAAAATCGGTTGAGAAGAGCTTCGATCCGCCTAAACTGCCTCGGGAGACCTGCAAGAACACAACGCCGGGAGGGATACCGGTGTCGGGCTTTCGATGTTTAAGTCAGCACAAGCAAGAAGAAGATAGTGGTCTACAATCTAGAGTTGTAATGTAAGTAGAGTGTGTAGAAAGTGGGAGAGGCATTAGGGTTTTACCTCAATCCCATTTTATAGGGAAATACCTTCCCGGAAATATCTGCCCGTGCAGCCCGAACTACCCCTGTGCCCGATATTTGATCTTATGTGTATCCTAATCACATCTTAGTCATCATCAGATTCTTTCTTATCCATTTACTACCTCTAGATCATGCTCTAGTAGTCATAGTGAACTCAACTCTCCGTAGATCTCGCGGATGAGACCTCATACTTAGTCACAGAGACCTCTAGTCTTCTCAGAACACCTCTAGCTCATCATACTTAGTCATAGAGACTTCTAGTCTCCTCAAACACCTTTAGCTCACCATACTTAGTCATAGAGATATCTAGTCTTCTCAGAACACCTCTAACTCATCATACTTAGTCATAAGGACCTCTAGTCTCCTCAGAACACCTCTAAATGATCATACTGAGTCATAGAGACCTCTAGTCACCTCAGAACACATCTAGCTCGCCATACTTAGTCATAGAGACCTCTAGTCTCCTCTAAACACCTCTACCTCGTCATACTAAGTCATAGAGACCTCTAGTCTCCTCAGAACACCTCTAGCTCGTCATACTTAGTCATAGAGACCTCTAGTCTCCTCAGCTCGACATCCTCAGGTCGCTCTTCCTTCAGGTCTCGCTTGGACCTCTTCATGTTTGACTCCGGTTCACACGTAGAGCTATATCATCTAGTGCCCTCCAAAACTTACTCTATTGCGAATCGAGATATAGAGTAAGGCCACTAATCTGAATAATTCTAACTATCAAAATTAATGTTGTATTTGAACAGATGTTTTCGTCGCTTCGCGATCAATATCTATTTTTATCTGTAGATTTTTTTCTGATCCAGGGGATTGAAATTGTTAGGTTTTAGCATTTATACCTTGTTTCCACTCTCATAGAATTAGTTCAAATCATCAGTTGGCCTTTGGCCCAACTCATAGGCTGAAATCACGATAGCCTTTGCTCGACGTCAGTTGTTTTTTTCCTCTCTCATGCGGCGTGCTGGTCGTGTTTCGCATGTAAGTTTTGTTGCTCATAATGCAAGAGAGTCGAGCAGGCATTCTGATGCTAGTATTGTGTCATGAGGTATGAGAAGTCCTCGAGGTATTATTTTGAGCTAATTCTAGAAGGCAACAATTGTCAGCCGGGGATTGCTTGTCTGAAGACGACCAGTGATTTATTTTTTATGTGATTCCTCCATGTCTTAGTCGATCATCCTCTCATTCTCATGCCTATTAAATCTTGTGTATCATTTTCGCATTATTTCCCGAGCCCTATTGTTCATAATATTCGCACTTTCTGTGACCTGTTAGCTTTTTTGGATGTGATAACTCGTATGTATTTGCACTTTTGTTTGTTTGTGATGTGTTGGTAGCTTGTTTCTGCTAGATATCTTTAACCACTTGAGTTCTAGGTCGTGAAGACCATCTTCTTTTGATCATGAGGTCGCAATGACCTGTATATTGTGTTGACTACTTTGTTCATTCATAATGAGGTCATGATGCTCTTGCTAGATGACGATGACTATTTGATCTTTGTTCAGGTCGCGATGACCATTTAATCATGCTGATGAGCTCAATTCCTCTAGGTCTCTATGACCATTTTTTCGAGGTCTCATTGTGCCCTTTATTAGGTCCAAAGACAAAGTCTATATGATCTTGTTAAGTCATGATATCACTTAGTTCGTGAAGTCCTGAAGTCGTCATATCCCTTAGGTCGCGATGACCTCTAACTCATCTTTGGTTAGGTCGCGATGACCTCTAATCTTCTTAGGTCGCAATGACCTCTAATTCATTCTTGTGAGGTCTCGATGACCTCTAGCTTGTTTTTATGAGGTCTTGGTGACCATTAGCTCAAGTTTTGTGAGGTCGAGATGACCGCTAGCTCCTCCTTTGTTAGGTCTCGATGACCTCTAGCTCATGTTTGACACCTAGCTCCTTCTTCGTTAGGTAGAGGTGACCTCTACCAGGTCGAGATAGCCTCTAGCAGGTCGAGATGACCTCTAGCTCCTCCTATGTCAGATCGAGATGATCTCTAGTAGGTTGAAATGTCCTCCAGTAGGTCGAGATGAGCTCTAGCTCCTTATTTGTCATATCTAGATGACCTCTAGCAGGTCCAGGTGAGCTCTAGCTCCTCCTTTGTCAGATCGAGATGGACTCTAGCAGGTCGAGATGAGCTCTAGCTCCTCATTTGTCAGGTCGAAATGACCTTGCTCCTCATTCGTCAGGTCGAGATTACCTCTAGCTACTCTTTTGTCAGGTTGAAATGACCTTGCTCCTCATTCGTCAGGTCGAGATTACCTCTAGCTACTCTTTTGTCAGGTCGAGATGACCTTTAGCTCCTCTTTTATCAGGTCGAGATGATTTTTATATGATTTTATATAATTTTTTTTAAAATCATATATATGGTAATCCAGATGGATCGAAGTTTTTTACTTTTTTATATATATGGTAATCCAGATGTAGTTTATATGATTTTTTTTAAAAAAAAAAAGAAAAAAAATTATATGGTAATCCAGATGGATCGAAGTTTTTTACTTTTTTTACACTAATATTATAGTTCCCAAAAAAAAAAAAAAAAAGTAGCACCACAGCGAGAATTTATCTTTCCCCCAACTCATTGATTCGAAAAAGTTACGCACTTCCATAAAGCTTCAAATTCGGTGATGATCGATGGTTAGATACTACATCTGACAGTCAATGATTAAAACAATTCCATTTCTACGTAGGATGATAATTCTAATATAGCTAATATTCCCTCACAGGTTAAACTTCAACGTATGGAAAATGGCCAGCAATAAATCCAGTAGCTGGGTGTGGAAATTCTTCATCATCAGGACATATGCCACAACCAAGTTTTCTTTTTTTGACTGCAAAAATTACAAATACAAAAATTTGAATTCTAAGATAAAAACGTTCAAATTAGAACAGAACTATTCAACTGCAACGTTTTTCTCAATCTAAGGTGAAAGAAAACCTGTATCAAGCCACAAAGTATACACATTAAGAAGTACAAATAACACGACTGTCACATGCATAAATAATCAATGTTTAGGATAACTCAACAAATTCAATTTATCTCAACGTAAGAGATGATCTTGCAACAAGAAAACAATCATTATAGAAAGCATATCCCCACAATAGGCAGTTCCTTAGCGGCATTTGCCCATATCTACAGAAGTCATCGGCTCTTCAAACAAGGTACAAAGATACACACAAATACTCAAGTTGTGAGTTCATGGACAAATCACAGCACATTAACCAACAACACCCGATAGGTAAGCAGATAAGGAAGTTAGGAGCATTACCAGGATCATCATTAGGTTTAATGACAAAACAATGAGTGGGATGAAGTTCCGCACCACAGTCAAAAATCTCCGCGAAAAACAATTGCGGGGACAAGTCGGCACAATCAACATTTTTGGGCACAGCCTTGAAGAAGATGTGATGATATGCTCCTGGTTCTAAGCTTGAACTCGGTGGAATGAGTTTACCATTTTCTTTCAACATTTTCAGAAGGTCAAGCTCAATGCCCTAGACCACATGAGAAAGTAAATAAATAACCAGAGCACATGAGTATATAGAATTAACTTAAAATTATTAAACAAAAAATGAGACAACCTGTTCCTTGTGATACTGCACTAAAGCAACTTCTGCCAGACAAGACCAAGGATGGCTAGTGAACAAAGAAGAATGATAACAATCATAGGAAAACTAAATAATAAAAAAATGGCAAAAGTGAATCTGCGATAGCCAAGCTAATCAGCAGACGTGAGAGAATTATAATGTAAATGACAAAGACATACAATGTTGCTTTAGGGTCTGACTTTCCATCCTTCATGAGACAGTGTAGGTATTCAGCTTGCCTTTTCCTGCTCCAGAGAGAAAATTAAAGGCATGCATGCCAATAGCAAATACTAATGTGCATCAAATAAAAAATATTGAACAGAGAATAATTAGACGTTGTAAATTATATACAGACAAAATTGACGATGCTAGATTTTCAAATCCTTAATAATGAAGTATGTTACATCTCTGAATGTTGATTCTAACTCTAAGGGCGGGCGAGAGAGAGCTTACGTATATTGTTATCAATCATGCCAATCACATAAGAAACACTTTCTAGATGCCAAATATATGCAAATATAAATATATATAATATCAGGATCCTAAAAATAATGTGAATTATTCAGGGAACAATGCATTTTCGGAATGTCATCACATCATAACTACTGCAAGAAGGCCGGCCTTTTCGATGAACAAAAAATCACCAAATAATAATACAGAAACAGAATACAGTAATAAAAACACAACTATACTTGCGTATAATCAAATGTCATCACACGCAATACATGAAAAACAAAGCCATATCCCATCAAATTAAATACTTTACTAATTTTCATCTTTTCAAAAGATATTGAAGGTATGTTATGTATTTGCGATGCAGCATAGAAAATATGTACTTTTCAGAGCAATAAGCCAAAGGTTGAAAAGGGGAGCAGGACGGTCT